GCATCATTCTCCCTCTCTATCCAGGATCTCCTGTATCCATCCCTTTCCGAGTGATTGACAGTGGTAGCTGGGCACCATCTATTTCTTCTGGTCTCATGGTCATATAGGCTGAGGTTTTGCATGGTTAGTAGTCCCTTAGACTAATTGTTTCCATACATCTTTGGTTTTCTTTATTCTTCTTTGCTCTGGACAAGGAGAGACCCATTGTTACATCTAGATGCCTGCTTGTGAGCTTTTAAGACCCCAGTCACTACTCATAAAAGTAGGCTGTAGAACCACGTTTTTGTGTAGAAAACCAAACCAAACTCACTGCCATCGAGTCAGATCTGACTCATAGCGACCCCTCCTTGGGTTTCAGAGGCGGTATCACTACAGAAGTAGATTGCCCAACCTGCCTTCTGAGGAGTGGCTGGTGGGTTTGAACCACCAGCCTTCTGCTTAGCAGTCAAATGCCTTGGGCACTATGCCACCAGAGCTTCCTGTTTTTTATGTAGTATGTTTCATTTTACTTTATAGAATCATGAGTTTATACACACAAGGGACCTGCTAGATTGTCTGACTTTTTCATTTTGATTTTTAGCTATTCTGGAAGCTGGGACCTGGAAGTTAAACTTCATTTTTCCCTTTGTATGCCAAGCCTTGTGTTGTGTTCTTTACGTGCGTTACGCCATTTCATTATCACACCAAGCCCTCGAGGGAGGTAATGTTATTATCTCCATTTCATAGGTGAGAAGATGAAGTGCAGAAAAGGTCAAACAACTTGCCAGGTCACCAGACCAGTGGTTAGAGGAGCAGGGCCTCAAACCCATGATTGTCTGATGACAAAAGTTCACGCTTTTAGCACCAGGCTGTCACCAACTCCTGTAAGGCCTTGGAAGTTGTCAGAGTTACTCAAAGAATATTATTTCCAGTTCTTGCTTCAGTGTTCTTTCCATTGTTCTGAACTGTCTCAAGTGCTTATGGGTATTTTGTTTTGTGGGGAGATGTGGTTGAGGGGAGAGTGGATAAAATGAAAGCATAACCCTCTCTGTCCTCCTGGAAGTCCTCCTGCTCCACTACAGATGCCACTTGCTACTCATCCTTTGTGCTCTCTCTCTCTCTTTCTCGTTCATTCTTGACTTTCATTGTTGTCTTTCTTTTTCTTGTTTTCTTTTCCTT